TTCGACTGTACTCCTTCGACTGTACTCCTTCGACTGTACTCCTTCGACTGTACTCCATCTGTCAGACATGGTTCCTGCTTTGAGAGAGGAAGTGAGTAGGTAGCGAGCGATGATCAGACTGCAAAGCATAAGTTACTTGATAAGAAATACCATTGTGGTATTATCTTGAGATGATTTCGAGGCTTTAAGTGTCCCCCGCGGCCCGGTCCTCTACCAGGCCTCCACCCCCCAGGAAGCAGCCCGTGACAGCTGACTAACACCCAGGTACCTATTTTACTGCTAGGTAACAGGGGCATAGGGTGAAAGAAACTGTGCCCACACCCAAGAAGGATTCGAACCCAGAGAGCCAGGAGCACTATGCATATGGCGTACCTGGTTCCTTAACCACTCAACTACCGTGATTGTTCCAGAAACTGTGCCCGTTGTTTCTCGCCGGCGCCTGGGATTGAACCTAGGACCACAGGATCACAAGTCCAGCGTGCTGTCCGCTCGGCCGACCGGCTCCCTTCGGGCCTCTCATACTCCACAGACGTTCTTGTTCCTGCCTTATAATGTGTCTTTGTGACACGTAGTAATCTTACTAAGTGAGCTTACTACGACCTCAAGCTCACTCGACATCTTGATTCCCAGATCATACAAATGGCCTTGTTCATCTATGAGGAGATACGAGTTCATTCTGTTAGACAAATATGAATGAGTTTCGGTTTGAAAAAACAAAAGAGAATCCTCGTATAACAACCCTTCTGCAGGTTCCTTTTTCCTTTGTTCATATGTTCTCTGCCTCTGTTCTTCATTTACATTTCTGTATGCCAAACACAATTGCTGTGTTGTATCTGTTGAGCAAAACTGTACTACTTTGGAGTACAAAATAGTACAGTTTTGGGGATTTTTTTCCAATTTGGCCTTACAGTTGTGGATGGAGACGGCTTCTATAACTTCCTCTTTCAGTTCTTGACTATTTCGTACAGCTTACAGGTAACAATGTCCAATGCTCTCGTGGTAGCGCTTAATGGCACATTAGCACTGTGTAGTTATAAAGATTTTCCTAATTTCCAGTGGGAGGGTTAGCATTATATTCAGGACTTTTCTCTCATTTATAAATGTTGTATTGCACTTTATGACTCCACTGGCCGCTCTAGAAAGTGTTTTGTCATGTTATAGATAGTGATATTAAGTTGTTTTACGGAACACCTAATGTGTGGCCCGCCTCTTGTGTGGCCCCACTCCTTTGTGGCTCACTCCTGTGTGGTCCACCTCCTGTGTGGCCCACCGTCAATATGGCCAGAGGAAATCCGCAGTTTGGTACAGGGTGAGTTGCCACAGCTTCCTGCTGGGCCATAGTGTGGCCACAACTTGGTGCATGGCCACTGTGTGTTTGGTCACAACGTGTTGCTAAGCAACTGTTTGTTGCCACAATTTGGTTATGGGCCAGTGTGGGGTGGCCACAATTTGGTTATGGGCCAGTGTGGGTAGCCATAAGTTGCTTATGGGCCATTGTGGGAGTGGCCACAACTTGGTTATGGGCCAGTGTGGGTAGCCACACCTTGACTCTAGATCGGTCCATTTGGCCAGAGAGAAAGAGAGAGAGAGTGGTAGCTAGTGAAGCTGGCCATAGAGTGAAACGTGGCTGGCCAACAGCATGGCCCTGCATCAGTATTACCATAGCCTGGCGTCGGGCCAATGTGAGTAGCGACACATTTGGCACAGTGCCTGAATAGTTGGGCCACAACTTGGAAGTGGACCAGAACAAATTTACACAACTTGGCACAGGGCCAGGGATGGTGGTCAGAGGGGGAGAGCGGTGGCCACAAGTTGGCAGTGGGCCATCACTAGATAGTTAGGGACTCAAGTCTATATGAAGTGCCAGACTCACAAGCTAACTCTCTCAAACTGCCGCATGCCTTACAGAGTTTTCTTATTTATTTGTTAAGAAAAAACATATTTTTGCCTATATTTTTACATTTTTTTATTTTTTAAGATTTTTTGCTTTCAGTTTTCCCTCTCTTATTTTCTCTTTTTTCTGATTTGTGTTATTTTTGTTCTTATTTATTTGTTAAAAAAAACATTTTTTGTCTTTATTTTTAAATTTTTTGATTTTTAAGAATTTTGCTTTCAGTTTTCCATCTCTTATTTTCTGGTTTGTGTTATTTTTTTTCTTATTTATTTGTTAAAAAAAAAACATATTTTTTCCTTTATTTTTTAATTTTTTGATTTTTTAAGATTTTTACTTTCAGTTTTCCCCTCTCTTATTTTCTCTTTTTTCTGATTTGAGTTTTTTTTTTTTTAAAGGTTTAGGTTTGGCTTTATTTCTGTGCTGTTGAGTGCAGATTTACTTGCCTTTTGGGTTAATTTTCTTCCTTCTCTTGTTCTTTATTTCAAACTGATCATGTTACTTCTCATGCAAGTTCTCCTACTCTTCTTCTCCTTTCTTCTTCTCCTTCTTCTCCTTTCAGGAGTACTCTCACCTCCATGACACGTTCACAGGAGAACTGATTGGTTACGACAACAAGGAAGGTTCGGTTACTTAAGTTGTCTTGAAGTGGGACTTAGAAGACTAACCATTAACTTCAAGTCAGTTAAGCTTAACGAGTCCTCTATGACAGACCCTGTCATATACTCCAGTAATATCCTTGACTATGATACATGTATCCAATCCATGTGTACTTAATTATTACTAATGATAATTATTATTTTTAATCAGAATTATTACAAATAAAAACCAATGATTGTTTATTTAAAAATTAATTATTAAAATAGTTATTGTTTTATTTATAATTATTCTAAAGATTAATAAAAGTTACTATTGGTTATTACATGTCAGAGTTACAGATAATGTTTTTTTGCATTATATAATGCAATATAATGACTATATTCATTATCAATGAACGAGGTATGTGAAGTAGGCGCTCTGGTTAGACATAGCCAAAGGCCTCATGTCTAACACTAACACTCATATCACTTTTAGTGGATACCCTCATGCATAGCTATGATGCCTGAGCAACATGAATACGGTCCATACCTCTCATGTATGGCTATGATGCCTGAGCAGCATGAATACGGTCCATACCTCTCATGTATAGCTGTGATGCCTGAGCAGCATGAATACGGTCCATACCCTCATGTATGGCTATGATGCCTGAGCAACATGAATACGGTCCACACCTCTCATGTATAGCTGTGATGCCTGAGCAGCATGAATACGGTCCATACCCTCATGTATGGCTATGATGCCTGAGCAACATGAACACGGTCCACACCTCTCATGTATAGCTGTGATGCCTGAGCAGCATGAATACGGTCCATACCCTCATGTATGGCTATGATGCCTGAGCAACATGAACACGGTCCACACCTCTCATGTATAGCTGTGATGCCTGAGCAACATAAATACGGTCCATACCTCTCATGTATGGCTGTGATGCCTGAGCAACATGAATACGGTCCATACCTCTCATGTATGGCTGTGATGCCTGAACAACATGAATACGGTCCATACCTCTCATGTATGGCTGTGATGCCTGAGCAACATGAATACGGTCCACACCCTCATGTATGGCTATGATGCCTGAGCAACATGAATATGGTCCATACCTCTCATGTATGGCTATGATGCCTGAGCAACATGAATACGGTCCATACCTCTCATGTATGGCTATGATGCCTGAGCAACATGAATACGGTCCATACCTCTCATGTATAGCTGTGATGCCTGAGCAACATGAATACGGTCCATACCTCTCATGTATACCTGTGATGCCTGAGCAACATGAATACGGTCCATACCTCTCATGTATAGCTGTGATGCCTGAGCAACATGAATACGGTCCATACCTCTCATGTATAGCTGTGATGCCTGAGCAACATGAATACGGTCCATACCTCTCATGTATAGCTGTGATGCCTGAGCAACATGAATACGGTCCATACCTCTCATGTATGGCTATGATGCCTGAGCAACATGAATATGGTCCATACCTCTCATGTATGGCTATGATGCCTGAGCAACATGAATACGGTCCATACCTCTCATGTATAGCTGTGATGCCTGAGCAACATGAATACGGTCCATACCTCTCATGTATAGCTGTGATGCCTGAGCAACATGAATACGGTCCATACCTCTCATGTATGGCTATGATGCCTGAGCAACATGAATATGGTCCATACCTCTCATGTATGGCTATGATGCCTGAGCAACATGAACACAGTCCATACCTCTCATGTATGGCTATGATGCCTGAGCAACATGAATACGGTCCATACCTCTCATGTATGGCTATGATGCCTGAGCAACATGAATACGGTCCATACCTCTCATGTATAGCTGTGATGCCTGAGCAACATGAATACGGTCCATACCTCTCATGTATGGCTATGATGCCTGAGCAACATGAATATGGTCCATACCTCTCATGTATGGCTATGATGCCTGAGCAACATGAATATGGTCCATACCTCTCATGTATGGCTATGATGCCTGAGCAACATGAATACGGTCCATACCTCTCATGTATAGCTGTGATGCCTGAGCAACATGAATACGGTCCATACCTCTCATGTATAGCTGTGATGCCTGAGCAACATGAATACGGTCCATACCTCTCATGTATGGCAATGATGCCTGAGCAACATGAATATGGTCCATACCTCTCATGTATGGCTATGATGCCTGAGCAACATGAATACGGTCCATACCTCTCATGTATGGCTATGATGCCTGAGCAACATGAATACGGTCCATACCTCTCATGTATAGCTGTGATGCCTGAGCAACATGAATACGGTCCATACCTCTCATGTATAGCTGTGATGCCTGAGCAACATGAATACGGTCCATACCTCTCATGTATGGCTATGATGCCTGAGCAACATGAATACGGTCCACACCTCTCATGTATGGCTATGATGCCTGAGCAACATGAATACGGTCCACACCTCTCATGTATGGCTATGATGCCTGAGCAACATGAATACGGTCCACACCCTCATGTATGGCTATGATGCCTGAGCAACATGAATACGGTCCACACCTCTCATGTATGGCTATGATGCCTGAGCAACATGAATACGGTCCACACCTCTCATGTATAGCTGTGATGCCTGAGCAACATGAACACGGTCCACACCCTCATGTATGGCTATGATGCCTGAGCAACATGAACACGAGAACAAGTCATAAGTGAGACCTTTTTCCCTGCCCAAAGTCAGGCTCCTAAATTTTTGCTTGACATTTTGCAGTCGTCAACATACGATTTTGTAATTTAATAACTATCTACTTTTTTTGCATTTCCAATTTACTCTTATTTTTGCTTGGGTGGACAAATTGGTCATCGTTGCCACATCCAAAGTAAGATAAATTTAAATTTGTACTTTATATACCAGTTTTTAAAATAAGTTTTATTTTGAAAGCTTTATTAAAAAAACTTTATTAAAATAAGTTTTTGCCTATAAGTTTTAATATTATTTTGTAAGGAAAAAAATCGCTTGAATTAATATTATTTCGGTCCACTCGCTCAAGTGTTTTCAGCTTCCTGTAATTTTCCTTATCATAACTTCAAAATGAAAAATATTTTTGGCAGTATTTTATATGCATATTTTGTAATTGCTTTCTGTTTCTGGAAGCATTGAGCGTAAATATCATCTTCTCAGGTCATTACAGCTAAATTATACCAGATAATAAAAAAAATCATTTTTTTTCAGACATTAAAATTTTCTCAACAAACTCTTAAGAATGAACTATTTATTTAATATTACAAGCCATTATGTATTGTGGAAGGGTTTTATGTATATATATATATATATATATATATATATATATATATATATATATATATATATATATATATATATATATATGGTTCCCACCCCCCTGCCCGGGGTTCGTCACCCCTGCCCGGGGTTCGTCACCCCTGCCCGGGGTTCGTCACCCCCCTGCCCGGGGCTCCGTCACCCCCTGCCCGGGGCTCCGTCACCCCCTGCCCGGGGCTCCGTCACCCCTTGCCCGGGGCTCCGTCACCCCAGTGCTCACACGGGGACCCAATATATTCCCCACTTCTCTTCACCCATAACTTGAGCCAACCCGGTGGCTGTGGCTCCTAGAGGACAACCTGCTGCTTCTTTGTTGGGTGGGATTCAAGGGGTGAACTGGAGGTTGAATGGAGCCGCACTTAATCAATCAGGCAGTTTGGCTGGATTCTCTTAACATTCCCGTTGTCACTGTCCATCTGTACTCTCTCCCTTTCCACCCCTTCCATCCGTTCCTCTGCGTCTTCCTCTGCCACCCTTCCATCTGTTCCTCTGCGTCTTCCTCGGCCACCCTTCCATCCGTTCCTCTGCGTCTTCCTCTGCCACCCTTCCATCTGTTCCTCTGCGTCTTCCTCTGCCACCCTTCCATCCGTTCCTCTGCGTCTTCCTCTGCCACCCTTCCATCCGTTCCTCTGCGTCTTCCTCTGCCACCCTTCCATCTGTTCCTCTGCGTCTTCCTCTGCCACCCTTCCATCCGTTCCTCTGTGCATATCTCGTCCTTGACAACCCCATCATTCGCCTCCGGCTGGAACTGTGTTTAACACAGTGAATTATATTTTGGTCACGAACCTCTTCTACTCTATATCCCCATCTTCCAGCCAGGAGCATATGCCAGCCTCCTCTTTCTCCCCTAAGGGGAAAGAAGCCCTCAGTTCCTGACCCCTTCCATTACAGCCACCCTTTTTTCCAAGAGGGTTGGAAACTTCCTCATTCTGGATCAGCTTTGCTTAACAAAGTCTTCTCTGTTTCCAGCTTCTTCCCCGCCTCCCTCCGAGGAATCTGTCTGTATGACCGAACAACGTCGCTTGCCCCCCCATGCCCCAGGCCTCCCTTCATTGCTTGACTTACCTTAAGTAGATTTCATATATCCTGATCTGGCTTAGTTGCCACTAGTTTTCCTGTACATTTTTTTACATCTTTCGTCTCTATTTTCCATCCTTTCCAAATTATGTTAATGAAATATGTACACCTTTATGTTAATTTCTCTTAACTTAAAATTTCAACATCAAAATTTCCTCTCATTGTCTGTCTCTCTCTCTCTCTTTTTCTGAGATATATACAGGAGTTGTTACATTCTTGTACAGCCACTAGTACGCGTAGCGTTTCGGGCAGGTCCCTGGAATACGATCCCCGCCGCGAAGAATCGTTGTTACAACCAAGTATCCATTTTATTGTTGAGTTAAACAGACGCTACAGTTAAGGATTTGCGTCTCAAAAAACCACAACAATGGTTAGTGCTTTTCTTGGTCACTTAGATGGTTATATATTTCTTCTTAATGTCACCTCACGCTTCTGATGCTCTTCCTACCACCACTGTTCTTTAAATCCGAAATTATGTTCATTGTCGTGTTCTTACTTTTCCGTTGAACATTCATTAACTCCTGCTTGTATATCTGTGAATAAATGATATGCTGACTTTTCTCTCACTTGATCTCCGTCTCATCTTCCGACGTCTCCTGGTGATATCTTGAGGTTATCTTGATATGATTTCGGGGCTTTAGTGTCCCCGCGGCCCGGTCCTCGACCAGGCCTCCACCCCCAGGAAGCAGCCCGTGACAGCTGACAAACACCCAGGTACCTATTTTACTGCTAGGTAACAGGGACATAGGGTGAAAGAAACTCTGCCCATTGTTTCTCGCCGGCCCCTGCTGGGATCGAACCCAGGATCACAGGATCACAAGTCCAGCGTGCTGTCCGCTCGGCCGACCGGCTCTCCTCACTGATTGTGAGTACATTTACACGTTTCTCTCACAAAAATGTGTTGATGTGACGACTTATATTGAATTTTGTAACTATCTCATCAAGATTGTAACTTGCTTAGCTATATGAATTGTGGGGTTCAGTCCCTGAGCCCATTATGTGCCTCTGTAACCCTTTCCACTACCGCCCACAAGATGGGTATGGGGTGCATAATAAATGAACTAAAAAAAAACTTTCTCTCACACATTTACTCACGTCAGAGGATTTAACTGAGGAGTGAGGAGGATAGTGAGGAGGTTCACTGCCTCACTATGGAGTGAATCTATTACTAACGTGAGTGTCTTTTTAAAACCATTTAGTCTTTTCCTTCACCGTTACCATGGTAATGATGAAACTGTGAATCAATGACAATCGGCTTGGGAGACGATTGTCATTGAATCGCAATTCTTCCTGTATTGATGTTTCTCTCAGCACTTCTTCCAATTATCTCGACCTGGGGCCAGATTCACGAAAGCACTTACGCAAGCACTTACGAACCTGTACATCTTTTCTCAATCTTTGGCGGCTTTGTTTCCAATTATTAATCAGTTAATGAGCTCCGAAGCACCAGGAGGCTGTTTATAACAATAACAACAGTTGAATGGGAAGTTTTCATGCTTGTAAACTGTTTAATAAATGTAACTAAAGCCGTCAAAGATTGAGGAAAGATGGACACGTTCGTAAGTGCTTGCATAAGTGCTTTCGTGAATCTGGCCTCTGGCTGCCAGTTCCTTAAAGACCTCCATAACAGCAACCAACTCCCAATTGTCTAGTTCCTCAGACTTTTTCGATACATATCTCCTTGACCTTCGTTTCTGTTAAGGCAGAGAAGACTGGAAAATCTTGATGACTTTCGACTCTATTCACTGCTCGTAATGTCTCTCTCTCTCTCTCTCTCTCTCAATCGCTTCTTCTCTTTCAATTAACCTTATTTGATGCTGGCCTGCACTGCCTCCCCCCGCCATGCCTCTCAAAGGCACGAGGAAGAGCGTTCTTTGCTGGAATTCAGACTGTAACTGCACTGATCCCTGTAAATTCAGACTTTAACTGCACTGATCCCTGTAAATTCAGACTGTAACTGCACTGATCCCTGTAAATTCAGACTGTAACTGCACTGATCCCTGTAAATTCAGACTGTAACTGCACTGATCCCTGTAAATTCAGACTGTAACTGCACTGATCCCTGTAAATTCAGACTGTAACTGCACTGATCCCTGTAAATTCAGACTGTAACTACACTGATTCCTGTAAATTCACCACCAGGGAAAAACAGCATTATTAAAACAGTATTATTATTATTAATATTATGGAAAAACACTTCACTTTGACCTTCGGTGTTGTTCGTTTCTCCTAACAAGAAAGCTGATGATTATATATCTTCAATATCAATATATACACATACACTCTTGCTGGCTATATCTGGTAAAGGAGTCACAAGATTACTGGTAAATTCTTGCCTAGTGCATCGCCTGCCTCTATTACCTTCAGAGTGCCGTAATTGTTGACTCCCTGTGTGTGTGTGTGTGTGTGTGTGTGTGTGTGTGTGTGTGTGTGTGTGTGTGTGTGTGTGTGTGTGTGTGTGTGTGTGTGTGTGTGTGTGTGTGTGTGTGTGTGTGTGTGCGTGTGTGTGTGTGTGTGTGTGTGTGTTGCCAATGGCTCCCATTCACTTATCGGATACTAAAGGGGAAGGGGGAGGGGGGGCGCATACCCTGCGTTACCCGGGTCTATCTATCTGTCTCCCTCTCTCTCTCTTTCTCCCTCGTTCTCACTCTCTCTCATCTCACTATGTCTCAATTTCTATCTTCTTTATCTCATTATCTCTCTCGATCTTACTCAATCTTTTCTCTCTCACTCTCCTCTATCTCTCTCTACATAAGGAAAGATTTTTTTCAAATTAAATAGTTCCCCATTGCTTTGAGAAGTGTGTTCATGTATAAGAGAAGTGTAAGGTGGGTAGTGGTGGAAATGATGCCACGAGACATCGGAAGTCACCTCATAATCTCATAATTACATATTATCTTTAATTTATGTTCTTGTATAATTCCCCATGTAATCATTTTCATGCAATTAATATTGTTATTGTTTATTAAATTAAAACTAGTAGCAGCAGTAGTAATAGTCTATTCATTGTAGTAGTGGGTGGGTTAACCTACCAGAGAACCCAAAACAGAAAACGGGACAGTATGTCAATTTCGCGAGCCGCTATCATTTTCTAGTATGACTATTTTTGGTCTTAGGTAGAGTGTACGTCAAAATGCGGCGTGCTATTAGGAGGAGGCGCTGGGTCAAGACTATTCGTTGGAGAAGACAATGTTTCAGCGTGCGTGAGAGAGGACGGCAGAGTAATGGCGTGAGCCACGAAGAATATTTGTCAGTATCGAAGTATTGATGGCCGGCTGAGGGGGATGGGCGCTTTCCCAGGCTGGTCACTCTCAAGCTGGTCACTCCCAGGCTGGTCACTCCCAGGCTGGTCACTCCCAAGCTGGTCACTCCCAAGCTGGTCACTCCCAAGCTGGTCACTCCCAAGCTGGTCACTCCCAAGCTGGTCACTCCCAGGTTGGTCACTACCAGGTTGGTCACTCCCAAGCTGGTCACTCCCAGGCTGGTCACTCCCAAGCTGGTCACTCCCAGGCTGGTCACTCCCAGGCTGGTCACTCCCAAGCTGGTCACTCCCAAGCTGGTCACTCCCAAGCTGGTCACTCCCAAGCTGGTCACTCCCAGGTTGGTCACTACCAGGTTGGTCACTCCCAAGCTGGTCACTCCCAAGCTGGTCACTCCCAGGTTGGTCACTACCAGGTTGGTCACTCCCAAGCTGGTCACTCCCAAGCTGGTCACTCCCAAGCTGGTCACTCCCAGGTTGGTCACTCCCAGGTTGGTCACTCCCAAGCTGGTCACTCCCAGGTTGGTCACTCCCAGGTTGCTCACTCCCAAGCTGGTCACTCCCAGGCTGGTCACTCCCAAGCTGGTCACTCCCAAGCTGGTCACTCCCAAGCTGGTCACTCCCAGGTTGGTCACTCCCAGGTTGGTCACTCCCAAGCTGGTCACTCCCAGGTTGGTCACTCCCAAGCTGGTCACTCCCAGGCTGGTCACTCCCAAGCTGGTCACTCCCAAGCTGGTCACTCCCAGGTTGGTCACTCCCAGGCTGCTCACTCCCAAGCTGGTCACTCCCAGACTTGTCACTATATACTGAGAGTCACCTAACGCATCTCTTAACAGCATGACAAGAGATCAATATCCAGCTGGGTGACTATAGTGGGAGGGAAGGACGTAGGTGGGTGACCAGTATGAGGAATATGATGTAGGACATACTTCTGCTGCGTATACTAGCAGCTACGAACGACGAGTGGATTTAACTGCTGTAAATACTGTTACATGCTGTAACAGTATACAGCATGTATACTGTTACAACAGCAACAGCAGTATACATCTGCTGTTGTGTGATACAACACACAACAGCAGATAATATGTGGGGGCCATGCAGCATAGTCCCCCCCCACATACCATCCCACCCAGTTGCATGCAGGCACCACATATCCTCCCTCATGATCCCTATGCAGATATCACAACCCCCCCTCCCGTCCGCCCCCTCTCTGCCACCCCACCACACAATAAACTTGGGACACGAGTTCAGTTTTTGTGGGTTTGTGTGAAACTTTGTCCGGTGGTGAAGGAGAAGGGGGCCGGATATCAACAGAATTGCGAACAAAGCCGAGCTGGGGGACTTCTGTGGGGCCGGCTGGCGATGACTGGAAGGGGGGGGGTGAGTGGTTCATAGGAGGTGACTGGACGGGGATATGGTGTCACAGAGACTGGAGAAGGGTGTGGGGGGTGGAGTGATTGGGTCTTAGAGATTGGAGACGGGTCTCCAGTCTCTATGTCGACGTGGAGGGGTAGTGATTGGGGAGGAATGAGGCTTCGGGTGACTGGACAGGTGGATAGGAGATGACTGTAGTGAAGAGGGGGATAGATGCTGAGCGTAGACTGGGAAAAACTGAAACGCGAAGATTTAATAATTAAAAAAGGGCTCAAAACTGACATAAAAGATATATAAATAACTGAAGTTAACGAAAAGGAAGACAAAAAGAGATATATAGAAGGAAAACCGAAAGGAAGAACATAGCAAAAGGAGATAGAAATGGATGTCGAGAAGAGCCAAATGGAAGGATGTAATAGAATGTGATATAAATGGAAATTTGGAGAGAGAGCGAGAGATTGAGAAAGAAAGATTGAGAGAGAGAGAGAGAGAGAGAGAGAGAGAGAGAGAGAGAGAGAGAGAGAGAGAGAGAGAGAGAGAGAGAGAGAGAGAGAGAGAGAGAGAGAGAAACTAGGAGAGACTGAGGGAAAAACACCTGAAAAGATAAATTGGAAGGGGGCAGATGGGAAGATATTAAGGAAAGGGAAAAAGAGAAATATGAAGTAAAGAGCTTTTTAGGAATTGGCGTTTGGAACGTGGCTCCTGAGGTCTGCTTTTGGCTGTGGCTATTGGCATGTGGCTGTGGTGGTGTGGCAGTCGGGATGTGGCTGTGGTGATGTGGCAGTCGGGATGTGGCTGTGGTGATGTGGCTGTGGTGATGTGGCTGTGGTGTGGCTGTGGTGGTGTGGCAGTCGGGATGTGGCTGTGGTGATGTGGCTGTGGTGATGTGGCTGTGGTGTGGCTGTGGTGGTGTGGCAGTCGGGGATGCCAGGACGGAGCCCAGTGTGTGACAAGTCTACCTTCACCCTGCAACCATAATGATCACAAACAAAAACAAACAAAAAATACACACAAAAAACATGGGGTTCACGGTTCGAGTCTCATAGAGTCTCCTACACACACACACACACACACACACACACACACACACACACACACACACACACACACACACACACACACACACACACACACGTACGTTTCTCAGATCACAACCAAATTAAAGTTCAAACAATCATATACAATTGACCCACGAAGGCTTCTGACCCGCGAATTATTGTAAATAATAAAAATAATAATAATTATTATTATTATTATTATTATAATAGAGCTGTTGACTGGGAACAAATAAATCACGATCCTCTTGCAAATAAATTAGGAAACCTATCTATTAACCACAAACCTGAACCAATGCCCTGAGAGATTGGGGGGGGGGTAGTCACAGTGGCGCTCCAGGTGTTCTGAAGTCACATATTACTAAGGTAACAGAATAAAACATTAAGAACACAGTGCTATCTACAGTGAATTCCTAAACACCTGAACCTGTCATGGAGGAGACACCAGTCTCGACTCACAACTCACATATCACCTCAATCCATCTTGACAACCGAGGCAGTCTATTGACAAACGATGACGACCCATAATCGCCAGTAGACGCACTATAAGAATGTGTGCGAGCGAACAGCCAACGACAGATGACAGGGCAAACCTCCGCACTGGCGTAAGAAGAGGCTATCAAGTACCACATAAACCACCGTAACGTCCAATAAAGACTGGTTCCGGCTCGTGCAGTACCGTAAAAAAAAACGAAGACATTGGCCACTGGAACCGCATACGAGACTAGCAAGTCGCACTCCACAGCTAAGGAACGTCACACACACATCTGGGAGTTACCTTGTCAGTGAAATTGTGTATAAAGAACATGGTAAAGTAAGGGTCACTATCATAAGAACAAATATAGCGTATAAAACAAGGACCTTTCAATCAAGCGACGCAACGGCAAAGATGGTTTTCTTTGTGGCACTTTTGCTCTCTTGAGAGGAATGCTACGTGAGTCTCTGCACGCCTGAGAGGCAGTGTTGGAGACCTGGGTGTCTCTCTGCACGACTGTGAGGCAGTGTTGGAGACCTGGGTGTCTCTCTGCACGACTGTGAGGCAGTGTTGAAGACCTGGGTGTCTCTCTGCACATCTGAGAGGCAGTGTTGGAGACCTGTGTGTCTCTTTGCACATCTGAGAGGCAGTGTTGGAGACCCGTGTGTCTGGAAATCCTCCAATCTCCCTGGAGGCTGACTCAGGTGGACCTCACTCAGGTGACCCAGGTGTACTCTGGAGGCTGACTCAGGTGACTCAGGTGTACCGTGAAGGCTCACCTATCTGGCGAACGTCATTAATCTCATTTAAGACTGAAACACGGTGAAACACGGTGCACTTACCTCGCTGACGGCACACTCCCCGCCGTCACTCACTCACCTGTGAGAGGCTCACACACCTGCCGTCACTCACTCACCTGTGAGAGGCTCACACACACCTGCTGTCACTCACCTGTGAGGGGCTCACACATCTGCTGTCACTCACTCACCTCCCTGAGCCACAACACACAAGTGACTCACCAAAAATTATATTGTCAGTGTCAGCAAGCATATGTTTCATATATATTTCCAGCATTAACCTCAAAGATTATCGTGTCTCAGTTTCCATCGTTCATCTTAAGAACATAAGAACAAAGGTAACTGCAGAAGGCCTATTGGCCCATACGAGGCAGCTCCTATCTTGGCTTCACCTCTGAGTTGTGTTGTTTAAGCAGCCCGTCCTGCTAAGGCTTTCCCAACGTCAAGAAACTGTCGTACTAACGTGCTCTTATCTTAACCTACCAGAGGACCCAAAACAGAAAATGGGGCCGTACGCCAATTTCGTCAGCCGCTGCCATTTAATAGTACGACATTTTTTTGGCCTTAAGTAGAGCATACGTCAAAATGCGACGTGCTATGAGGAGGATAAGTCCATTTTCCTTCACTTGATTGCCCTTGATAATGTTGTTCTGTTGTTGCTGTTTAAGATTCGCTACCTGGAACAAAAAGTTCCAAGTAGCACGGGCTATGGTGAGCCCGTAGTGGACTTATGTTGTTCTGATTTACAGAGCTTTCGTTGTTCTTGTTTTCTTGTTTTCCTCTACGTTATTAATAGATTGTTTTTTCGTGCACAAACAAATCACATTAACGCGATACAGATCAATGAGAAATTCAGTAGGAGGTCATATTGAGGTTATCTTGAGATGATTTCAGGGCTTAACGTCCCCGCGGCCCGGTTCTCTACCAGGCTTCCTTTTTGTTACACACACCCCAGGAAGCAGCCCGTAGCAGCTGTCTAATTCTCAGGTACCTATTTACTGCTAGGTAACAGGATCATCAGGGTGAAAGAAACTCTGCCCATTTTCCACCTCCACCGGGAATCGAACCCGGAACCTCAGGACTACGATTCCCGAGCGCTGTTCACTCAGCTGTCAGGGTTCGAAGCCCTGAAGAGGATTCGAACCTGTGCTCTGAGTACTCCCAAGCACAAGCCTTGAAACCACGACTCTGGGAAGTACCCAAAACATAGTTTCGAATCCTCCACAGGGGAGCCGGTCGGCCGAGCGGACAGCACACTGGACTTGTGATCCTGTGGTCCCGGGTTCGATCCCGGGCGCCGGCGACAAACAATGGGCAGAGTTTCTTTCACCCTATGCCCCTGTTACCTAGCAGTAAAATAGGTACCTGGGTGTTAATCAGCTGTCACGGGCTGCTTCCTGGGGGTGGAGGCCTGGTCGAGGACCGGGCCGCGGGGACACTAAAGCCCCGAAATCATCTCAAGATAACCTCAAGGGCTCCTCCTGAGGAATTCTGATAGCTTTTTTATGAGTTCCTGATGATGCTGTGTTCGCTATATACCATGTCCACAATAAAAAGAGTCAATACTTAATAGACAAATATTTGAATACATTTAGACCAACGTGTGTGTCATTTAAAATGTGGTATACATATATATCTTCAAGGTCTGATATGTATATATGAATTTTTATTCAAACTCCAACTTTGGTTCCCCTGCGCAGAGCCAAATAACATTCATGACGGGTTTTATGGATCCTTGGCATGTGCATCGTCCTCCGTGACTTGCATGCCTTTCTCTGGATACCTTGCTTCCAGACCCCATCCTTGAAGCCCAGGCACACATGCCGGCCCTAGACCCCTTGTCCTCCTGCTCCTTCTCCTCCCTGTACCCAAGGCTGCTACTGCTTCTTCCCCTAGAACGTGATTCATACCATCCCTGGACCCCCACCCAGGCTCGTAGTACCTCAACTCTGTACCCTAGGACTCACATCGTTCTTGGAATCCAGGAAATTATTTACTCCGGGGAATCTGATTAACATCGACCCCTATCTTGCAGTACTTCGCCT